CCCACCCCTTCACACAGAAAGGGAGGGAAAATCTAAAAATTTGAGTTATCCTTACAAGAGGAAAGGGGAAATCTTCCAAAGGGAACACCTGTTCCAGTGGCAACTGTCTAAAAGGGAGTTGCCCTCACTTTGGGAGACTTCTTCCTCTTAACTTCCTGTTGTATCTCTGGGAGAGGAAGTAAGTAGAAATTTCCACAATGGTTCACAAACCAAAAACATAAATGGGCTGTGGTTTTAACCATTTTCCTACTCCATCCATAACGAAGTATTTGCTGTACATATACATATTTATATTGTGATATTAAATCCTGTCTGTTTGATTTTACAGCCTCCCCATGTTCACAGTTCTCCGCCGTTTCTCAATCTTGTTTACAATGATGGCTGAGGGCTTTTTGCTCAAGTAAGTATTGTGTGTTCTAAATTAACCACTTCAAGACCAGGTGTTTAGACCCCCTTCCTGTCCAGGCCATTTTTCAGTATTCAGCGCTGCGATACTTTGACTGACGTTTATTCCGTCATGCAGCACTGTACTGAAATGAATTTTATACCATTTTTTGGGGACAGATAGAGCTTTATTTCGGTGGTATTTAATCACCACTGGGGTTTTTATTTTTTACTATAATTAGGAAAAATTACAGAAAATTTGGGGAAAAAAAAGAGTTTTTTTTAACATTATGTTAGGAAACATTTATTATTACCCAGTTTTTTTGGTAAAATATAAAAGATCGGGTCACGTCGGGTAAATAGACACCAAACATGTCAAGCTTTAAAATTGCGCGCACCCGCGAAATCGCAGAAAATTACCGTACCCAAAATTGGCCATGGGCGACGCTTTAAAAGCTTTTACCGCTCATCAGTTTAGTGTTATCAGTGATTGATGGCCCTACAATTATTGCTCTCACTCAGACGTTCGCGGCGATATGTAACATGTGCGGCGTAATGGGCGCAATCGTCTTTTTTGCACGTATGCGCCCCCGACGCATGTTTGCATGCGTGTATGTATGGGTGGGGACTTAAACATTTTTTTTGTTTTTTTTTTCTTTTTTATGGTGTAACTTTAAATTTGGGGGGGGGCTTAATTTTTTTTTCATTTTTTTTTTTCCACTAAACTTTATTGCTATCACATACGGGGGCTAATAAAAACCCCTCTATGTGATAGCAAAATATGTGACAGGTCCTCTTTATGGAGACATCAGGGGTCTCCAAGACCCCTAATGTCACCTAGGACCCCCCAAAAGAAGCTGATGAAGCAGAGATCTGCTCCATCAGCTTCTTTCCAGCTTCTGAAGCTGGAGAGTGACACAAGAATGCGGAAGTGATGTATTATACAACACTTCCGCATTCTTGCAGCGGAGAGGGGACCGGAGAGAGCTCGTGTACCGAGCTCTCTCTGATCCCCTGTGTCACAAGCGACATGCTGATCCCGGGCTCGCACCAGGCACAGCGGAGCCCGGGATCAGCGGTACAACGGCGGGGGGGGCCGCGGATGGGGGGGGACGGGACCGATCGGCACCCCATACACGCGATCCGCCGGCTCTACAGCCGGCGGATCGCTTGTATGGTGACAGGCATCGCTGCCTGTTTTTAAAAAACGGCCATTTCCCGCTCGCGCGCGCCGAGCGGCGCGCGCGGGGGGGCGTGTCTGAGCGGACGTCTAAAGACGCCCGCTCAGATCTAGAGAGCTCGGGCCGGCCGTTTTTTTACTACGGCCGGCCCGGAGGTGGTTAAGGAAATCCACATCTTGCGCCCAGTCATATCATGTTGGGGGAAAGAGTCATACTTGAGGAAGAGGAAGAAGGTCAAGGTCAGCTTTCCTACCAGGCCAACCGAGGCCCGGCAGCAGGGGTGTGGAATTCCTGTCTCCGGACGCCCAGGACATGCAGTTCCAGGCACTGGGCAGGTAGTTTTCTACATTTAGCCCTGCTTTGGGCAAGCAGAGCTAAATGTACAGCGGGGAAGCCGCCACTTGTTTTGTACAAGTAATCTTGGCAATGTATCCGAGATCACTTGTATGCAGCCTGCATACAGGGGGGCGCATTGAGGAACCTGGCATTGGGGCAGCAGAGAGAGTAAATCCGGCCCTGAAGGAGGGTTATGACATGCGAGGGGTGACCCTAGCACGGTACCCTCCCTCCTCGCATTTCATAACCCTCCTTCAGGGCCGGATTTACTCTCTCTGCTGCCCCAATGCCAGGTTCCTCAATGCGCCCCCCCTGTATGCAGGTTGCATAAAAGGAATTCCACACCCCTGCTGCCCCTCTACTCCCTGCTGCCCTGAGGCCGGGGCCTCGGTTCCTGAGGAAGTCAACTTTGCTAACATGTACAAAGTCGCAAGTAAATAAAAAGTAAAACTTCTGCGATTTGAAATGCTTGATTTTTTTTTTTTCTGTGCTTTTATGTGTAATTTGTTAAAGTTAGTGACGGTCTCTTTAAAGACGTCTGCCACAAAGTTCACTAATCCAAAACTCAGTGAACTAGCGAGTGCAGCTAATGTGCAGGGACCAGTTTTTAATCTGTAAGCTCCATTTTATTGGCTTCCTAAACACCTTTTTATATGTTGGCATCACACACAGAGACTCTTTATATGGAGCATTGTGGATTTTGGCATTCTTCATTAGATAAAAGAAACCGGGTGTAATAGAACAATAAGTGACGGGTGTAATGTAACAGTGATTGCTCTCTGTTCACAGTGCTCAGTTCCGTTTTGAAAGATCACCTGGAACACTCGGTGTTGTACTTTTTGGCTGCGCATCCAATATTCCACATTTATTGTATTATTTGTTTCCTTTTTGTGCAGGAAGAAGTTTTCTCGCAGTATTCAGATGACCGTATTTTCTATGATAATAGGGGCATTTATCGCTGCCAGGTAAGTGCACATTCGTAAGAATTCAACGGTTTAATATGAATGGACTCGGGCTAAGGGCATTAAAGTATTCGGAAAAAATTAAGTTTTAGTGCTTTAAATCTGAACTCCGGCCTTCCCTTCAGTCTTGCACAGTTGTACCGCCTCCTATCCCGGACTGAAATGGCTTCCTCTGATGTAACTGCACACTGCGAGCTTCTCGCAATGTGGATTAGAAGCTGCAGCAATTCAAGATGGAGCCCGCCCCATTACCTGGCTGGAAAAAGTCCAGCATCGTCTAGCTTTTTCCTCCCGAGCCTGACTGTCCCTGTCCTGCTGCATCCACGCCTTGCATCACCAAGTGCAATGCAAAGCGTGGGATGCCGTGGTGTAAAGCACGCCGCCGCTGGACTCTAGAGAAGTGGAGACGTTCTCTGGAGTGACCAATCGCGCTTCTCTGTCTGGCAATCCGATGGGCATGTCTGGGTTTAGAAATTGATCATTTTTGTGTTATATGGGGGGTGAGCTCTGTGGTCTTGCTGTTTTGGAATTAAATGGGGGAGCAAGCTCCCATGCTGCGTGGGAATGGGAGGGGAGAGCTCTGTGGTCCTGCCACATCCCCTGGAAGAAACACATTTTCAGAGTAAGGCCTCATTCACACAACGCAAGCAAAATTGTATATTGCGTCTATGTGCGTATATGCGTGCAGTATATGCGATCCCACAATGCGTCACTCGAAATGAAATTTTTAATGGGCTGTGCGTATATGCGCAGCAATACACTGCCCGGACGCATCTCTGTTCTGTTTTTGTGCATATATACGCTACGCAAATATACGGCTACATACATGGCTATGTGTATGGAGCCATTTATTTGCATATGGTACAATACGCGCAGCAGTGTGAATGAGGCCTTACTGTGACAAACCTCCATCTATACGCTGTTGCAAGATTTGTAGAAAAAGCCGCACCGATACCCCAGAGATGTTAAGGACTTTGTGCACTTAGGAGTTGCCTCAGGAAGATCTGTCTTCTCAGACTGGAATAACCGCCTACACAGACCTCCAGCAATCCACTCATTAGTGTGGGGTTTTTTTTTGTCTGTCCCATTGGAGAGCTTTACCAGTGCCACAACAGTATGTGAGGGGAAGATCCCCTCTTAGATTTCACAGGAGACAACTGTGAAAGTTTAAATTTCCCATCAACTTATGTCCCAGTAACGATGGGGATCTTATGTCCCAGTAACGATGGGGATCTTATGTCCCAGTAACGATGGGGATCTGGACAAATAGACCGTTTTGACTCAAATCAGAATGGTCCACATTTGGAAAACCATTGTGCTCCCCTGTAGCAGTCCATACCTAACTGTGTTATCAGTCACTCAGCATTGATGTACCGTATTTGCCGGCGTATAAGACGGGTTTTGAAACCTTAAAACATCCCCCAAAAATCGGGGGTTGTCTTATACGCCGGGTACATACAGAAGGATATGGTATACAGTATGTAGCTTCGGCTACATACAGTATACCGTGCTGAGCCAATCATGGCAGGCTTTGTATTAATGAATACAAAGCCTGTATTCATTAATACAAAGCCTGCCGTGATTGACTCGGCGGAAGACGGAGGACACAGCGGGGATCGTGGACAAGTAAGTTTTCAACCCTTTGTTAGGACAATCGGTGTTCAGTTCTAGTTTACAACTGATGATGAGATTAAAAAGCACTTTGTTTTCTGCTTACATTTTTAACGGTGTGTCAGCCGGAACAGATCCCGACAATGCTGTCGAGATCCACCCAGCTGGCTGATTGACAGTGGACTTTGCCTATCTAGAGGCAGAGCCAGCTGTGCCCGCCCCTCTAGTCAGGAGGATCGGAGAGGGGAGGGTGGGAATCCCTGCGGGGAGCTGTGAGTGACAGTCACCAGTCTCTGTAGGGAGATGATCGGTATGTGTTCGCTCACTTTCCGCTCGATAGAGCCGACCTGTGACATTTTCATTGTCTCACATTGGCTCTAACTATGAGGATGCGTGGAAATCACTCACCTCATACTTCTCCTTTAAGGTGTCGGCTACATATTTAGCTTATTCTCTGTTCTAGGAAAGCGAGATAAATAAGTTATCAGTTTTGTACAATTTGTGTGCTACAAAATAATCCTTCCCCTTTTTTTTTCCCCTTCCTATTTTCCTCAGGAACTTGGAAAGTACGGCTTGCTGTATTACAATGCATTGTTCATGATCGTTCCCACGTTGGCCATTGCTTTTATGACTGGGGATGTCCAGAAGGTGAGACCATTGCCAATGAATCTTTGCTCCTATCTTTTGCTGGACCCTATAACTTGTCTGATGTGGAAATGCCAGCTTTGTATGTAATACTATGCACTGCGGGGTTCCTGGCAGAAGTAGCCTGCGGGGTCCCTGGCAGAAGTAGCCTGCGGGGTCCCTGGCAGAAGTAGCCTGCGGGGTCCCTGGCAGAAGTAGCCTGCGGGGTCCCTGGCAGAAGTAGCGTACAAGTGTTATCAGAGAAATGACATTTCAAAGATTAATATGTATTGTTCACAGAGCCATAAAGCGCCATTGGGGGAGAAATGCGTACACACACAATGACTTCTCTTTTTGTGTTCTGCTCTTTCCTCCCGAGGAAGAAAACTACAGCAACATGCAGGCATTAAAGAGAACCTGTCTGATTAGAAATATGAACTGTCAGTGTTGACTTGTCTCTGGGAAGTCCATGCTCCAGGGGGAGTCTGGTTCCCTAGAGCTTGGTGGCGAGCTTCCCGTCTAGAAGAACCGCATTCATATTGCACGTGATGTGTGAATGATCCTTTCAGGCCAGTGAAGAAAGGATCGCAATGACGGCCTAAGAAAAATGATGCACTCCTTCCCTGTTTTTTTTTTTTTTTTTCTGCATGGGTCAAAACTGCAACCTGTTTTCAGTAGTCACCCAGCTACTTTCCATTTTGGTTGGTGTGGTTAATGGAAAGCAGATTTGCTGTTTTCATTTTTTTTTTAAAATCACATTTATCATCTCACTATCTCGCTGCTTCCTTTTGTGTGGCAGCAATTCCATTATCAATACCCCCCCC